TGGGTGATGGGCATTAAGGAAGGCACTTGTTGGGATGAGCACTGTAAGTGATGAATCACAGGAATCAACTTCCAAAACCAAGAGCACACTGTATACACTGTACGTTAGCTAACTTGAAAACAAATTATATTAAAAAAAATAATAAAATAAATAGAAAATTACTTCTGTTAACAAATACCAAAAAAAAAAAAAAGGGGGGGATGCAAGGAGCAACAGAGGCCAGTTTAGCATGTGAGGAAAAATATTCAAATTTGAGTCACCACAGGAGGGCAAAGTCATCTTAGCAGCAATATGGCGATTATAGTACTAGATGTCACCAGTAACCAAACAAGAAGAAACAGAATATGATGAGGTAGACTAGGTATGATATGATGAGGTAGACTGTGACTTTATGGTCCCTTAGAAGGGCCCTTAGGAGCTGCCTGAAGGTAAAACATCTGAGAACAGGCCAGGTTGGTGCCCTTGTGGACCAACAGTGCTTGCTCCTGCTTCAGTTAGAGTAGCTGTGTTTTCATCTGTTTTACTTGCTGGGACTCCATGTAAAATTTCATTTGAGAAAAGGGTCATGCTTCTTTTTCTTTTTAATGTTTATGAGGTGGGAGAGAGGGGGATGGAGAGAGACAGAGAGAGAGAGAGAGAGAGAGAGAGAGCACGTGGGGGAGGGGCAGAGAGAGAGAGGAACAGAGGATCCAAAGCGGGCTCTGCGCTGACAGCAACAAGCCTGATGTGGAGCTCGAACTCACAAATTGTGAGATTATGACCTGAGCCAAAGTCAGATGCTCAACCAACTGAGCCACCCAGGAGCCCCAAAAAGGGTCATGATTCTTAAAGAAAGGTTTGAAAATCCCATGGAGATGATGTCAAGGATTTAAAAATCTGAAAGGTATTACAAGATTCTATGGGTAAGAAACAAGAACAAAATACTGAGAGTGATCATTATTAGCACAACATATAATGATGGAAGTTCCCACGTGAAGAAGAGGCAGGAGGGGAGATCTGAGACCTCTTACAGAGAGCAGCTGAGATGTGTGTGGTCAGGTGAGAGGCCACCTTTACCTCCCACCATGAACTGAATCCTGCCCCTCACCTTTTTGTCTTGAGTGAAACTCCCGTGATGTTAATGGCAGCTGCTTCTTAATGGGCTTGATCTGGCTATTTGGTGATTCCCGATGAATTTCCCAAGGTGACAACTTCTCTGCAAGCATGTCTTCATTTTGTCCAAAAAACACCTGAAAGCAGTTAGGCATACCTGAGGCTGAAGAAGAGACCCACGTTGGGACTTTGAAATAAAATAAGAGAGAAGAAACTATGTAGAAATATCCTGGGACGCAGGAAAAGGGAGGAAGAAAGCACAGCCGTGTTCAGTTTTCTGGCACAGCTGGGAGTACATTCACCACCCAACGTGTTTAGCGTGTTCAGTGGGAGTACAATTTGAGAGCTCTACCCCAATAATGGCCCAGAGCTTCTAACCCAGCCTGGTTGCCCATCCGTGCCTGATGCCTTTTTACCTGCTCAGTTGGCCCGTCAAGCTCTTTCTCCAGCTCCTCCAGCATAGTCACGGCTTGCTCTCCGTTCTCGGGCCGGTGCTCTCGCAGCCAGGCCTGCAGCTCCTCAGGCAGGATGGCCAGGAACTGCTCCAGCACCAGCAGCTCCAGGATCTGCTCCTTGGAGTTCACCTCGGGCCTCAGCCACTGATGGCACAGCTCCCGGAGCCGGTTCAGAGCCTCCCGGGGCCCAGGCGACTCCTGGTAGCCAAAGTGCCTGAACCGCTGGTGGAAGGTCTCTGGGCTGCAGGAGGTGCTCCAGGGGAGGCTGGAGTCCAGATCACAGATCTGCTCTTCCTCTTCCATCTTCACTATCACAATGCTGTCAGACTCCTCTGAAGGTTGTGGATGGAGTGAGGACTTTCTCAATTTTGCAGACATTTGGACTGGAAATAAATAAGTAGGCTTTAATCTTCAGGGAGGTGAGCTTTCCTTAAGGACGCTCCTTAAATACGATTAAACAAACAGGTGGAAACAAGACACAGACACGTTTCTTAGAAATACAACACTGGGGGCACCTGGTGGCTCAGTAGGTTAAGCCTCTGATTCTTGATTTCAGCTTAGGTCATGATTTCAGGTTCGGTTTGTGAGATCAAGGCCTGCAGAGTTGGCTTGGGATTCCCTCTCTCCCTCCCTCTCTCTCTGCCCCTCCCCCATGCATGCTCAAAATAAAAACTTTTTTTTTAATTTAAAAACAAAGAAACATAACACTGTTACAGAAAGTACTGCCCTAATCTTAACATAAACCATGCTTTCAAAGAATACTTCCTTAAGAGAATTGAAGAGCTAAGATGGCATTAATTCATATGCATGAGTAATTCCCCATTTATTCTGAAAATCTTGCACATAAGGCTGACTAAATATCACAATAAGAGATCAGCCAGGATTGTGCAGGAACTCCTGGAGAACAGAAATAAGGGAAGCTTGAGAAAAATTATGACTCTGGGGCACGCTCAAACAGCCAATTAATTTTTTCTAGCCTGTTGCAAAGAGCATTAAGAAATAGTCTCATGAGAGAAGTATTCATGTGGATTTCTTTTCAACACTTACTATTAAACAGTATTAAATAAAACATTAAGTTTAATACTATTGAACAGCATTAAAACAATACTATTTTGACATTAAAGGAACTATTTAAAAGAAAAAGTAATTGTACATTCCCTAATCTTAATGTACTTCTATTTTTTCATATTCACTTCTACTTCCCATCCATAACATCTGCATTATTTGCCTATCTCTTTAGTGTAGAATATTTAGGTTGTTTCTAAGTTTGACTACCATAAATAATTATGGGAGGCACATTTTCAGGAATATATTTTTCTCCTTTCAAATTATTCAAGGATATCCCAAGGACTTGGCTTGCTGGGGTCAAAGGAGAGCGGCAAATGTCTTGTTAGGTACTATCAAAGGAATTACTGAAACGATTGTTCACCAATTCACAATGTCAACAGCAACTCAGTGATGTAATTTCTCCAGGTATCATGAGCTTGTCAGCAGGAAGGGGGTGGAAAGAAACTTCTAGCACTATATGCATCACTGATCACTGATGGCTGATTACAAAATCTTATAGGTGACCCGATTTTTCTTTTTTATGCAGTTGACCTGAACAAGACCCGTGGCTTCTTAAAACTCTAGCAGGTGAGAGACAACGTTACCAAGTAAATAGAAGAACGTTATATACACTGCTATGCAGCAAATGATAACAGCTGGCACAGAGTATTAACCATGTGCCGAGCACTGTTCTCAGCACCTTAAAGAGAAACTCCTTTAAACCTTCTCAAAAGTCCTGCACCCTTACTTCCATGCCTGGCTTGTAGATGAGGAACCTGCCAAGCTCAGGTAGAGTGACCACGGGCAAAGGGGCAGGGATGGGGCCTGATTCCGGGCCATCCACTTACCCACAGTGCTGCGTGGTCAAGAGGCCGGGGGCAGGGGTCCGGGTGCCGAGAAGGAGCAGCAGACCCAGATGGTCCTGCGCCGGGGGAGAATCTAGGGTCGAGACCTGGGCGGCGGGAAAGGTTGAGGCCATGAGTTCGGACGCCGTCTGGGAGCGTTACATTGAGGGACTCTAAACTAAAAGCCTCTGGAAGTCACGGAGAGAGTGGCGGCCGGCACGCATTCTGCCTCTTCAGCACCTGCAGCCGCGTGCCACCTCCACAGCTGCTCTCGGCGCTACACAGGAGACTGGGAGACCGAACCGCCAACACACGCGCGGGCCTGTGACC